TTTTGTTTTTTTTTAAGTCAGAGAATCTTCGGACCTATTGCATTTCTCCTCTGACTACAAACAAATGTCTGTATTTGTACCCAGACAGATCTTTTTTTCTGGTAAAGAATAACACAGAATTTATGTTTTGGCTTTGGGATGCTGTGTGCAGATCGGGTTCTTCTGGCTGTGTAACACGACAGATTTTCAGAGGCATGAAGGGTAGTGGGGTGGTTGACTTTCAACAGCAGGTGGATGCCTAATGTCCCTTTGTGTCCTTGAAGACCATTCCCTCATGTATTGCTTTGCCACCTGCCTACACAAACACTCCTTGCAATTTAGGAGTTAAACTCAACATTGGCAGCAGAAAAATCAGCGCACATAATGAAGAAAAAACAATCGGTTCTGGGTAAAGGCACGAAGTGCTTCAGAGGGCTGTTTAGTATTCATTGTGCATATTCCTGAGGAACTAATGTCCACTTCTAAAGTTTCACTGGTTGGGTTTTTTTTGTAGGGTGGAGAGTGTTTTTTATATCATGTCCTACTACAACAGGGTGTAAGTTAAGACTGGTTAAATCTGTTTCATCCTTGGTTAACAACAGTTTCTTCAGGCTTCTGGAAGTAGCTGGACATTTGAAATACTGGCAAAGTTTGTGCTTAGTTTCTTACAGATGAGCTAAACTACATTTTCAGCCCTCGAGATCATAGGTCATAGTTCTGCTTCACCAGCTTTGATGAATGATGTCACTGGCACCCAAAACTACTGAAACGACTGAAAGTATCAGCTGCTAATATCGTTAGTGATGGGAAACCTGGGACTCCCAGTATCTTCACCTTGTGATAAAAGTCCAAAGCCAGTTTGGAAGAAAGGTTGCCACAGAGCACAAACAGGTGAAAGAGTAGCTACTTAAGTTACCTGCTTTACAACAGCAGTAAAAAACATCTTATTTTCTGCAGGAATAAAATATGAAAAGAAGATTCACATCATTTAAATCAGTGATTGGTCTTCTGAGTGACATTTAAAGAACTTACCAAACCATCTTGCCTCAAATGATTATGATTACATTCTGTCCACTTGTTTGAAAAAAAATTCAGCCTGTATTTCTAGTTTTTGTCAGGTAATTTCTTTAAACTCTTCCTGGTGTAAATAAAGCTCAGAAAATAATAATGCAAGGGTCACCTTGCTTTCAGAAGGCCTACAGTAGCTATGCTCATCTTGAAATGTTTATTCTTATCTGATATGTATTTAAAGAGACAATACTTTTTCATATGGAACATGCTTAGAAATATCATTCATTTATCTTTGACTAAAAAGCTAAGTGCCTCCAAAAGCAGCCTTCACTTGTGAAGACAGGACACCAGTCCTTCTGACTGTTTGACTCAGACTAATTTCATTTCCCATACAGGGTGGAGCACCCCAAGATCTGGGGATTTTGGCCCAAACCAGAGGACAGAAGGACAAATTGGGGCAGATCCTGATGTCATCCTGCAGAGTAATGACTTGACTATGAGGATTTTGTAAACCTGCCAACGAACTACTTATGAATCCTCAGAAAGACTGTGAGAGCGTGTATAAACCTTCACCGAGACACAAACTTCAGATCATCTGTGCAGCTTGCTTAATACCTCTGTTGCCCAGTGTGATGATATGAAGTCATGAATTATAAGGTGATGGGGTTTTCCTGTTACAGGCAAAGAGGTTTGTTAAATCTACACAGCCTTCTGTTCCAGAAGAAATCCTTTAAGAAAAAGGCTGGCTTCTGCCCAGATTTACAAAAGAAGATTGCTTTTCGGTGGGCTGCATTAACAAGAGTCTGTGACCAGCTGGTGGGAATGATCAAGCACTCTGTGATAGGCTAGAAAAGAGTAAGGCTTGATCTAATGACACCTTTTTTTTAAAAAAAAAAAAAAAAAAACCAAACAAACCAAAACAGAGTTTCGGTTGATAGGAATCATACCAGAACTTAAAGAAAGAGAAACCTTTTCTGAAAAGGTAAGCTGCTGTTGAATGGTAATCAGAAATAGTGGCTGTTCTATACATGAACTGTTATTTCTTGGGGTTTGTTTTAAGCAAAGCCATTTTTATTCTGTATTGTCTGTGCTATGCAAAACTTGCAACAATTCACATGTAATTTAGTATGTATCTTACTAGTGGTCTTCTTAGGTCTTACTAATTAACGCCTTTAATGACTACTTTATTTATGATATCATAAATAAAACCACTAGTAAGTTCTAGAAGTATTGCTCTGTGGTCCTGTGGCCCTCACCACCTATCCAGTTCATTCACGCTGGGGGTCAGCATTGCTGTTAGTACATGCTTCCCCTGCTAGTGCTGCGGCCGGCTTTCAGCAGAGGAAATTTGACTCAACCAGAGAAGAATGAGGCTGATTCTGGCCCCATGTAATTAGAAAAGCTAACTAGGTGGCTTTTTGTAACTGTGGAGTGGTGTTTTGTTGTGTTGGGTTTTATTCGCTTCTTAACTGGGGGATGGGAGGGAATGGAAACACAGATTTTTAACAAGCATTAAGAAACAAACCACTGCTTTGGAGCTGTTAAGGCTTGCAAAAGTAAAACAAGATTTTTGGAAGTGCTTCAGGGGCCTATTTTGCTTATCAGGGAAGGTGAGCAAAAGACTCACTCTATAGCAGGTCTGGCATTGCAAACTAGTCTTGTACTTCTGGTGTCTTGGGTTACTCTTCCAATGACAGATACTCCAGGGAAACCTGAAGTCCTTGTTTAAGCTCCAGTTTATGTGCAAACATGCCTGTTCAAATACACGCATTTGTAAAGCTGGCCTTGGGGAGAGAGGGATGTAGACCTGACTTTTGAGCAAACTGTTGCCATGCTGGCTGATGTAAAATTGCCAAGTGAGGTTAAAAAGTGAGATGCAGTTTTTGATAAGAGATGTTGTTTATGTGTATGGAGGGGAGCAGAGTGGAAGAGAGAAGAAAGGAGGTGAAAACATCTATTGGATCAAATTGGCTTGCGGTTTTTGGTGTATATGTTGTTTTGTTTGTTTTTTTGATTAACGTTGTTTCTGATGGCTGGGGTTTTTTTGTGTGTGTATCCCTCCCTCCAGTGCTCAGCTAGACTGGATAGAAGCCAGTGCACCGAGGTAGACCGAGTTTCTGCCTTTTTGGTGCTTCCAAAAACAAGAGACAGAAACAAAGCACCGTACTACTTCAAAAACCTTCTGGCACAAATTGCTGCATAGGATGCTTTTATGTTCATGTTTGTGTCCGAAACTGTTAATTATGTCAGGAGTACTTTTTAAAGTGTTTATGCATGTCTGACTCCCAAAATGCATCTAACTGCTTGTGGGGAGGGGGGGTGGGTGTTTTTTGCTTTATATGTTTCTGCCTTTTCCATGGTCCTCATCCTGAATGACAGGGAATCTGTGGCTCTGTAGATCTATGTTGTGTGATACTGGTTTCTTGTTACTTGTGTTTTTTCCACATTCCTAATTTGCCGAGATGTTACAGATTCCTTAAAAAAACCCTCACATGCTTTTTTTCTTTTTTTAAAGCCACATAATCAAGTCCTGAATTACATACAGCTGTGTTGATTTGCAAACACTTGTTTGATTCAAGTGTATAAAAGCAACACACTAGCACCCTTAGTCAGAACCAGCTTAAGGTTTAGCTGCTTATTCACATATTCTTATGAAATGTAACTACCCTTTGAGCAAAAGGATGGGCCCAGTGTAACAATGAGTGTACAGTCATTTTGTGGATAGGTTACAGGCTTTAAAAACGTGAAGAGTAAACCCTGTTACTGTGAAGGTTTTGTAAGTAGTCTGGATGGGAGTTTTTCGTAGACGTTCCTTTTGATTTCCAATGATAGAATAATATTTCTGTCCTGTTGGTACTTTTGCCCCAATGTGTCATGTAATAAGCTGACTAAAATGACAGGAACCAAGGTCACGTAGCTCTGAACTGCTCCTGTAGGGTTGTGGTCACAGAAGGAAGACGGGACAAAACCAGAGTGTGAGTATCTGAGGGTTTTTTTTTTTATTCACAAAGTGATGCCTTACCCTTTGCTATTAGCTGTTATGGTTTTCCTTGTATCTTATTTTTTTTTGGTACATAACTGTTCTTCTGGCAGATGAAACATGAAATTGCTCCCAAATCAGGGATGTAACAAGGTTTTTGTTTGTAACAAGGTTTGATGTAACAAGGTTGCTGAAGCAACAAAATATGTACACGTGACTAACGACATCAAAGGACCAACATCTGTGCGTTGTTCAGTGATAAGCCAGGGCCAGAACACTGAAAATGAGTTCGGCCTCTTTCAAGATGATGGCTCTAGAACTGATCTTGAGTATCAGTAGTGAAGGTGTTTGCACTCAGTCTGCCAGGAGACATGCCGCTATTAAAGCATATAAACTTAGATCAGGCATGTAGGCAGGAAGCTGCTCTAGTGTCGATGAGAAGCAATTCCATGACTAGGTTTTATTTTTAAAGGAAATTAGGACGTACTGACCTGTAACACTTGGTGCACAGGAGCTGAAACAGCACAGAGCAGGTCCAGCTGTTCTGTGTAAACACTGAATGGCCCTTCCTGAAAGGATTATGCCTAAAAATAAAATGAAATACATCTGATGAAGGAGAAAAGATAGGAATCAATAACTTTCACTGATCTCCTTTCTTCCAAATGTAGTTTTAAGCAAAGCTGAATTTCCTCAGGCAATATTAAACAATAAACTTAAACATTTCTCTAGGGAAGATGAATGCCTATTTCTATAGCATATTAATTTCAGCCAATTATTTTCTTTGATGGTGAAGACCATCACAATCTTCTGAGTAAGCTATTTGACCACTGGAACAAGTCTTGCACAGTGAAAACAAAGAAAGATATGCAAGTACAACTTAAAATTAGAAGAAATTTGCAAATGCTGCTTTATTTAATTCTTACAATAGGGAGGCACTTTACATCAAATAAAAATAAAAAAAAAAAAGTGCAGAGGTTTCATTACAACTACAAAACCCTAAAATATTATTTCATGAAAACAAAAAATAAATTGTGAGAAAATTATTTATTTTTTCCTTCATTTCATCTCATCTCTATACCACTTCTTGCACTTATACAAACAAAACCTAAAAACCTCAGACGTTTTCTTCTTCTCACACAGGCTGACAATTTAGAGTCCTGCTGACACTTAGTGTTCCTCATCTCATAGTTTCTGTTTGTTGTACAAGGCAGAGGCTGACCCAAGGGCTTTCCAGAATTCAGTGGGTGCTGATGAGATCGAAAATCCCAATTCAGCTCCATTCTGCATGCAAAACCTGCTTATTTCAGTCGAGTTGTTCTCCAACTTAGGCCCAAATGAAGAATGTGTGTGTTGGGATGGGAGGAGAGCAGGGAGGGATGCTTTCCTGCAGTCATTTCTCCTTGATGGAGTCTGGAGAAATCAAAGCTTTTTTTACATGCCATCCTAGAAAAGTGAACTAGTAGTTCACTGGCAATTAGCCCCTGGGTGTCAGTTGTGTGGTATTCCTGTGGAGAAGCAGTTACGTATGAACTGGTGCAGGCCAGATTTGGAGACGGTACTGAGTCTGGTTGGTGTGAAAGTCACAGCAAATTCTGTATTACCTTATACAAGTGGGAAGTGAAGTTAACAGTAACCTCAGACAAAGCAATAATGTTGAAAGATGGGCTCAGGTTCTACAATACTGATGTACTGATGTTAGTACTCAACAATGAAAGAAACCTCACTAATGTCACTGGGAATATCTCTGGAGAAAGGCCATCTTCAAAATGAATATTGTCACAATCCATCCTTCTGTACATACATTTCCACCTCAATGTCTCAAGCAAAGAAAGCAAACCTCAGGTCAAGAATCCTGGCAGATAAATGTCTCTCTGGTTGATGGATGAGAGCATATATCCATTGCTTGCAGCAATTCTCTTGCTATTTATTTGGTTTGGGGTTAACAAAACCACTAGGTGAGCTGCACAGGGAGGCTTGTGGTTGTGTGAAAATGAGGTTGGAAGTGGATAGAATACTCGAAGGATGCTAAAGAAATATTAGAAATGCTTGAAATGAGCACACTTGAGAAAAACAGTACTTTTATAATTACCTGTTCCATTAAAGTTGGCTGAGCAGAATATGGCTATACGTTCTGATGGTACCAGCAAAATTCAGGCTTTCAAGCACATCTTTCAAGCACATTTCAAACACAACTGCAACAGAGCTCAAAACCAAATCTCTTCTGAGGCTCTGTGAATGCAAAGTTGACCTAACTAAAGGGAATATGATGGACCATTAGAGGGTGCTCATATTGAGGAGCGCTAGATTTGTCACAAATGGAAAAAATGTTTGTAGCAATTTCTCAGCTTTACTTAGCAAATTTGTTTGATGTCCTGTGATGAAGACCAGAGCTCCTTCTTTCAAGCCATCTCTTCTGTTTTCCAAAATTGCCTGGGGTATATTTCAACACACTTTAGAAGTAAATTACTTGACCTGATCCAGAACTCTGTTAGAAGTCTAAAGCAGGGTTCCTAAGATAGAAGAATTAAAGCTGGTACAGCATTACAGGAGCTATTTTCAAAAATTGAGCTACTTACAAAAACGTTTTGGTTGTGAAGTTGCTTCACCAATATTGATACAACTTGTAAACATAGTCATAGAGACCTTGGGCTCTGGATTTTGGGGTATTTTTTCCTTTATCAAAAGCACATATTACAAAACCTGTAGAGATTTTTCTTTGTATATTATGCTGAGAAAAGTTTAATGAGACTTGTTTTGTTTAGATTCAAATACATTACTAAAATTTTCAACTTGCAACTTTGTGCAGATATATTTAAACTAAGAAGTAAAATTGGTTCTAAACAGAACTTCCTGAACTTTTTCTCCAAAGTAACTATGCCAAGGGCGTAGTATGAACATAGAAGAGAAATAAATCTAGCTGTTGTATTTATCACTGATATTAGTAAAAGAACATTTTACAGAATTTTGATCTTGATTGCCTCTACAGCTGAGAAAAGGGAGTTTTCCCCATTTTATATAAAAGGGAGGAAAAACATGCTGTTGATTATTTTCCTGGCACATCTTGAATAAAATAATGCAGGCTTCATTATGGCATGAGACTAATTACACAAATTATATCTGAAAGAAAAAAGTTAAATTAAGAATTGAATGGTTACTGCATAATCAGTGGGCACGAATGAGATCTAATGTCATTGTGTTTAGAAATGGCTTCATCCAGATCCAGCTGTCTGTTGTTGACCTTCACCTCCATGCAGCCATTATAAAAAGCGGTTACTAACGTAGCACCCAGAGGAACATCTGCACAGAAACACATTAAATTTATTAGGCCAAGGCATGCAAATTCTTATGTGTTTTTCAGATTAGCAAAAACATGAGGAATACTGCATTCCCTGTCCATTAGCCAGCCATGGGAGAAAAGAGCAATTTGGCAGGAAACACTTAAGTTCTCTCTTTTCTTTAAGACTGAGATGAAGTCAGCAAAGCTGAGAAAGGTCAGTAAAATTTGAAATATGCGCTAGAAAGCTATTCCCATCCAGAAACCTTCAGCAAGTCTCATCTAGCCTGCACTGGTGGTGCTGAATGAATTGACAAAGAGGCATACTCCCAATGCTGTTACTACTTCGAAGAAACACGCAACATAAACAGTCTTCGTGAAATGTGTGTTTTTGTTAGATGCCTTTAAATGACACAGTTCTGTGCGCTGCAGCTCGCTGTGGTGATCCTTACCCACCTTTTTATACTCCTCAGTAATCCCAGAGGCTTTCCGGGGGTGAGTTAGTGAGTAAATGAATCACTGTAGCCAAAGTGACTGTACATGGGGACATAAAGTAGCTTTCCTGTATTACTTTTTTTCTCTATGGTAACAGACACTGTTGTGTAAGAGGCTCCTTTGGATAACATGGGGGGTTTTTTGTTGCTTTTTTGAGACCTCTAGGTAGAAACTGTTTATGGATACAGAGGTTTTTTTTTTTTCTGGCGACTTGCATGTTGAAGATACCTTTTTAAAACTGAGGGATTACACTTAGTTTTAAGGAGCAGCAAGCGACTAACACTTGGTCTTTATCTATTTGGGATGTATGGCTGAAGTCAAGGTCTTAGCTCTTAAGATGCCAATTACTCTGTGGCTGGGGATGTACTGGAAAAAATCATTTAAATATCGCAAAGATGAAGAGGTTTAAGAAATGACCAGAATCTTAGTTTAAGTTACTATGACTCAGTTCATGTACTGACTCACGTCTACTAAGTAAATACTGGCTTCATCTCCCTTCTAAAAAAGGGAGCAGGTATTACAAAAACATTGATGCTTACCTATTGCGGTGTGTGACGGTACTGTACCATTAGTGCATTCTTCTTGTTCTACACGTTCAATTTGAATTGAACTCACCTGGTTATCCGGTTTCCAAGATATTGCATATCCATTCAAAAACCAAATTAGAAGAGAAATCGTCATATTTGGTGACTAAATCTTGTTACATCTTTGATCACCAGTGTATGAAGACTTGTGGAGAACAAGAACATTCCAGCATATAGCCCTGGACACTGACGTAACCACCAACCACTGCAGACAGAGGCTGTGGTACCTGCAGTGCTGCCCTAAGCACCTCGCTCCTATTCTAACAAGCAAGTCTAGAGGGTGGAACCGTAATTCCAGCTTCCCCTGGGTACACTACCTTGGAACAAGTGCCTAAAGAGATCATCTCAAATGCTTACACAGTTCCTCCCTTCTTTCTATTCCTCTGCACCCTTGTCTCCTGCAGAAGAAAAACACTGCAGATCAAGAACAGCTGTATCTGGGGCAGTGCTATGACACTACAGCCTACATGTAAAATGGATGTCAATTCAAGGTTGTGTGGGTCGCTCTTAGAATTTCCTTAAGAATTGTGACTTACTCTGCCTAAAATAACTTTTAATAGAGGATGCAGAAAAGCTCTGCCAGTAGTAACATTGTAACCATGGTGTGTTTCCTCTATTAGTTCTCAAGTCTGAGGATCTTAGTCTTTGAAAATTCATCATCTGTGGCAATGCTGCTATTCTTCATGATTCACGCTGAAGTCAATCTATCTTTACAGATAAGCATATGTACACTTCCTGTACAAAATAATGCTTATACATATCTTAAGACTGGGGATACTTTTGCAGCTGGCTTTAAACAAAGTATTTGCTGTTACAACACATTTTCTGTCTCATAAAGACTGCCAGTCATCTATTGCCCAGATTTTAATTGCTGAAACCATATTCCTGACTTTTTCTTCTGCAGTTCTGATACTTAATTTATTCACAAATGCCTGGTTTTTTTACATGCTTGGTGCAGTTCCTAAATTGTGCCAGCTGGCGCCATTTCAGAAATATGCAACACTCACTCCTCCCTAGCTCAAAAATAAAGATGTTTTCCAAATTCAGACCTCTAGAGAGATACTCATGCATTCTAATGGGCCTAATAGTTCTACTGTTAAAAAGCAGGCTCCCTCAAAAGCTGAATAGACTGGAGGAAACAAGAAGCACTTGGGGAAAAAACTGTTTCTTTTTGTGTAGCTGTAGGCTTTTTCTAGCTTGGGTAAGGCTGAATATAATCAGGCTTGTAAAAGTAATCAAATTAATGGAAAGAAATAGAATTCACCTGGCAGGCCGCCCAAGTAGGTAACAACATTTGCCATCATTGCTTGATGCAGGATAGACAGTTGCTCTGAATTGCTTCTGTCTGTGTGTGAATCAACAGACAGTTCAAGTTGCTGTTTGGTTACTAGGAGTCCAACCAGCACTTTCCTGGGTGTACATAACTTCTTTGATTCCAGATGTGCGACAGTGATGTTTCCAATGGTCACAATGATTTTCTAAAAGGAAGAACAGTAGGTCACGAAAGATGTCACATGTAACTTTAACACATAACGATACTTAGTTCTGATGCATTTTATATTTGGAAGTAGAAGAAAAGGAAATGTTAGAGCCACATTTTAAAAACTGGTGCCTTAAGTTGGAAAAGTTACCAAAGTTGATGTATAATCATCACCTTTGGTGATGAATGCCATTCATTTATACACTTAAATTTGTAAGTGTGAATGTTCACTGTCAAAAAATCTTTGCCTATTGGTCTGAGGTAAAATCCTGTTTCTCTTATTGGCAAAAGGAGTACTGCTACAGTTTCGAAGGTAACCAAGAATTCACTATAGGTTCTTATTTTGGGCAAAAGTATGGATTTGCCATGGTGTATAATTATGCTCTATCTTGGGATGCCTGACGTAAACAGATGTAAATAGAAACTTAAGGACAAAAAGATCTGTTTATAAATTGAAACTAACATGATGCCATTACTATAGTATCATCACTCTACTTCTGTCACATTCCTGCTTCTGCTTTGTGCATTTGGGACGAGGTTAAAGAAGGCATGATGTAATGGATAGTACCTGACATAAGAGTGCTTAGTGCTTACTCACTGTTGTAGCAATCATTAATAGTAATATATCTTCTGCACATCACTATATGATCTAAGTGCTTTTCAAAATATTAATTCAGCCTACCGGCTCCACTGCAAGTAAGTGTGAGTAGCTTTTTTTTTTAGTTTGATATTTCACAAATGGAGTAGTAAGTTAAGTGAGACAAAAATGAGGTGTGACTTCTATGCATATATCAGCTGCTATGATAATTGTAAGATCACCTGTGAGTCAGAGGAGTTAGAGTCCACTATGGACAAAGCAAGAGGCACTGTTTTATTAGAAACCAAGGCAAACATAACACCAGTGTCTGTGGATGGGCGAATAGTCATAGTCACATTTATTAGCCAATCTTCAGCACTGTCAGGCTTATCTGTTTTAAAAAGAATAATTGACATTAATAAATTCATCTGCTAGTGAAAAATTAATACGGTGTTAAAAATTAGTATTTAATCTGCTCCCACTGTGGAAAAATTAGTACTGATCTCCAGAAAAAAGCAAACTTTGGAACTTTTAGAAAGAACTAAAAAACCAACAAACCAAACAATCAAAAAACATTTAATCCTGTATCTTCCCTAATCTTCTGTGTTTACTGGACTTTTTTTTGTTTGCTATCTTCTCCATTCTAATGTGGAACAGGTGCCACATTCATTCGAGGTCAGTTCAAAATTACACCCAAGAAACTAATTTATGAATTGCTGCTGCTGAGTAGAAGATTGGCAGTTCTCATACACTTTTACATTCCAAAGCAGTTCCGCTATTAAAATGGGAATATGCAGGTGTGTAAAGTAAATATGTAGATGGCGCAAATGTAATTTCATGCGATGCATTCATAGTGAAGCTAATATAAAAATTACTATTTAAAGAGGTATTTGTCATCTTTTGTATCCTTTCTTCCTGTACCTCTTCTCCCCTACCCCCCCCATCAAATCTAGTAGTTTCTTGATTTCTAGTAGTTTCTTGAGGAAGCAGGAATCATAAAATATGAGGTGAGGTTATATTCCTACACAGAGACAAATGGTCAGGAAACAGTGGGCTGTAACAGCTCATAGAAGGGCAGCAGATGTGGGCAGCTTCTCAGATTTGGGGGAGGTGGGGCGAGAAGAGAAAGGAGACGGGGTGTAGTCATGGCAGCAGCCTCAAACACTGAGGTCAGGAGGAGTTATGGCAGTGTGGTGGTACTGAATGAATGGGAGGAAAGTTGAGGAATTTGAGTGGCATAGGAAACTGATACAAATTGGTTGGAAGCATAGGATATAAGAAGTTGGAGAAGTATTTTGAAGTGGACTGGGGAATTTAAATAAAAGGTCTGGGAAAGAAGAAGTCCTGAGATGAAAAGGATTGGGGATCAGAGCAGGGCTGAAGGGTAGCATAGTATTTGAGATAGGGAAAAAGTATAATGACAACAAGATTTGGATGATGCTCAAGAGATGTTTTGGTTTGGGCTCAGGTGTTGCACAAGGAGATTCTGAACTGGAAATTTTGAAATTAGGGCAGAATTTCAGGCAAGAAAGTTCTGTGTTCAGGAAAGAGCAAGAGACGCCCCTAAAATCTCTATATAGGATGTTCGTTTAGAAGCAGAATTGCACACACAAAACTATTAGCAATCCTTTTCTCCATTCCCAGTATTCTTTTCCTGTCAGTAATATGATAGCTTTCCCCATTGATGAACAGGGGACAGAATTAGATCTTTGGTAAGTGAATGTGTTCAACAGTGCCCATCCTTTGCAAATAAAGAATAAGCTCCTAACCTAAAGCAGTTCAGAAACTAAATGGATGACACCAATGGGATCAGAATTCTCATTCGAGCAAATTTCTAACAGAAGTTATGAGAATCATTGCTGGATGCAGTGGTGTATAGCTTCGTTTGTATGAATCCCTTTGTTGTTGTTGTTGTTGTTTTTTGTTTTCTTTGCTTTCTTTTAACAATTCATCAGTTCCATCACCTGTCCAGCAAAAAAATATAGGAATAGACAGAAAAATACTTACTATAGTTTATCTGAAATGTTGCCATTCCAGTTCCAGGATAGAAGGATCCTCTCCCCACTGCTACTAAACAGTGTTTGCTTTGTTTTTCTTGAATAACTTCTTTTACACCTGAATGTCCCTGATTCATCAGGTTCCAGGCACGAATGCACCCATCTAGCCGTGGGTTAATCTGCAGAAGAATTACAGCACTAGGTGTTTGCATTTAAAGTTGTCTTAAAAGTGTTACTAATAAAGCATTACTTTAAATATCAACTTATTTCTGGGAAGCCAATAATAGCCTTATCAATGCTACAAGGTTACAGCACTGATGCTGGGAGAAAACAAATGGCATGCCTTTAGTACCTTGGGTATTTCTGATTTAATAACATTTCTCATTTTAATGCCAGTGATCTTTCCAAAATAGTTTGCTTTAATTTTTAAAGCTCATGCTGTCCCTTTTGTTTAGTTCACAACAGCTTTTCTGTAGCTGAAAGACAATGATTGCTAGTGCTGCTCCTTGTTCAAGGTTTCATCTTCTCCTTATACTGAAGTACAACGAAATTTCTAGAATTACCTTCTGTTGGGTGAGGGGACGTTGTTGTATGACTTCATATTTTTTTGCTCTGCTTCACCACTTTTGAGCAAAAATGGATTTTTAAGGAAAAAAAAAAAAAAGGTGCAACCTCTACTGTACAGTTACTTTTTGCCTCTCTGTAGGTTGACAGTTAGTTTGAGGGATCCTGGATTGTGAAGCAGACAGCCATAACAACCTGACTGTACCCATTCCCAGCATAAGACAGTTGTTGAAGGTGGAAGACTAAGCGAATCATGGGCTTTGTCTAGCCTGGGCTACTATAAAACCTAGTGAAAATGAAAGCTCCTTGTGTTGCCTACACAGTGATTTCCATACCTATTCAGAGTCTAGCAAAAGCCAGCAGCAGGAACATGAATCACTCTGCAATGCTCTTCCAGAAGAAGCACTGATGATTTAGGGAATCTTAAAGCTATATTAGGAAACACGCTACAGAATCCTGACAGATTAGACCTTAAGTGCCGTGTTTTTACAACTCTAACCTAACTGAGGACAAGCTACAAAGCTTCATGCATGTTTATTTTCAAAACAGTGGTTTAATAACCTGATTTTCATTTTCTAAACGGATTCCATGTCACTCTTCCTTCCTCTGTGACTGTTAAGCAAACAGTACAAAACCAAACAAATAACAGAACAGTATTAATCAACATTACTTTTATTATTTTAGTTACCTGTTTAACCAGAGTGTTGCCCACTTTTCGAGGTAATCCTGCAATGTACACCTTAGTCTCCAAGAAACCCTGTGATTGTTTAAAAAGAGTTCCTGGGCTGTTAATACTCATCACGGCTTCTTTAGCTATTTTTACACTGATGCTGTGTTCTAGTTCTTCAACTGATATCTAGAATTAAATACAAATGATTACATACATAAATGTATAGAACATTTGAAATACTAATTACATGTACCTGTATGAAGCATTACTAATGTTTCTCTAAATATCTAACTTGTAAAATAGTTTTAATGCTGTCAATATTTACAGCATATTTAAACTTGAATCGTGAGGTTTAATGCTGTCAATATTTACAGCATATTTAAACTTGAATTGTGACAACTGTCCATATCCATGGACATCCACAGGAGGATCATCTTCCATTCCATCCTCACTATACCCCTAGGAAAACCCATGCAGCGGACTAGTTTGCTTTATGCGCTAGAGTTTGCAAGAAACTGATTTCTACAATTGCTCTATATCCAATCCACTTTTGGCATACAGTTCTCCATGTCACTGCAAGCTGCTACAGGGGATTGACTCTTCAGATGGGACATAGGCAAAACAGGTTCAACGCTTGCTACTGTTACTAGGCATCAAAGCAGACTTTTTAATCTCAAGGAAGTTGTACTGAACTGAAGGAGGCGGTCTACACAGAATCCGAGCTTCTCTTGCCCCCATTTAAAACAAACAAACAAAGCCTAACTGATGATAATAATTTGGTGTGGGTTATAGATAGTCCTTTCATCTTAGGTATTCAAGCTTGAAGAACAAGCTAGATTTCTGGTCTAGCAAATGTAGTAATTGTTATCTAGACAAAGTATCTAATAACTATGCACTTGACCATGCAATCACACTATTTAATATACTGCTGCTTCATTTTTCATGATTAGAAAGAATAATTCCTATGTTTCCAGCTAGAGGTAATTACCTCTTTCTTGACTGTAAACAACTGCCACAATTTCCCAGATGTGTAAGGCACTTGTGTGTGTTTTTTCTTGGTTGATATTTAGTTCTGGGATTTGAGGGCAACATTTTAACTTTTTAAATAATTGCTTAGTTTCTCCCTAATTTACTTATCAATACAGAATATTCCCATAGTGGGTTAAAGGAAGAAATGGGGAGAAGAAAGCCCCGCTTACAATATGCCACAGTCCATCATTAATGGCTTTGCCTCCACTGGTGACTTTTGTTCCAAATTCATTCTTGAACTGAATTTCAATCCTCCCGTCACGAAGAGCAAGCAAGATCCATGCTGTATTGTCAAGGGATTCTGCATATAATATAACTCCCTCTGCATCATATGTCCGGAAATCAAATTCTGCTGTAAATCTGAGTTTGGAGAAGGAATCTTAATAAGACAGGAAACATGAAATACTGTATAGCCTAGGATAACTCATTACTAGGGAAAAAGAATAAGTTACTAGATATTAACGTTTTGGTAAGTCCCTATCTGAGCAGTTGTGATATTTGCACACAATTAGTCAAAAGCAAAATCTAATATAAGCCTCGTTCATCTGAATCTAGTGAAAAGTTCTGAGATTAATGCCCTGAGCTGGTATTTGAAAAAGCCTTGGTTCAGTTCCCAAATCTGCTATGAGCTTTACATGTGAAGGGTATCACACTCCCTCGAGTAAGATAGATGTAATACTCTTATTGCATTTCGTGGAGATGTGACGTGGAAAAAATACATGATCTATGATGTGCTTCATTAGGACAGGGTTACCAAGCGTTGTCCTACAACAGTTGTAACCTAGCAATTTGCTTTGGTTACTGCTGCGTTTATATGTCATTCTCTAATTTGAGGATTTGCTGTTTGGATCTCGGCAGGTGGTTGAATGTGTGTAGGTAACAAAATTATGGTTTACATTAGAGTACCTGTACAGTAGAAGAGAGAGAGTCTAAGTATAGTAAAAAACTGGCCTTATCTCCTAGAACTTTTGGACTAGATAAAACAGAGTAAGGATGAAAGGAGAAAATAAAATATTGGGAAGTTAGGATTTGCTGAAGAAAACAAAAGACACAAGTAAGGGAGCTGTAATTACGAACTCGGGTTGCTTTCGCTCTCAGTCTTGTTCTTTGTCCGCTAGATGTCATTGTCTCTCAGGCAGATCCACAGAGAAATCATTCTGTATTTACACAGAGACTATTAAGATAGCTTCAAAGATTTATCATCTTAGAAAGGTCTTCCAGGAGAGCATTAATGACTGGTCAACTTGAGAACTTTTTCCTCTGCTGCTATTCCAGTATTTATGTCCTTCTGTAAAGTTCTAAGGCTCTGGGGATCACCAGCTCAACAGCTGCTGCTGCTGTTACCCTCAAATTGTTCGGTCAGTAATTCAAGGAACATTGCAATTTCAGCTGCCACAGTGAAGAAGTCCAAGAGTAATAAAGGGGTCACTACCATTAGCTATTGTTCTGACAGTTGTAAAGGAAATCATACAGACAGAGCACTCTAGACAAGGTACTGTGCTCTATCAGTGTTCTTGGAATAGCCTGTGAAAGGAGGCTTGGGGGTGGGAGGGAAGCACTGGCCTGGTTTTGCTCCTCAGTAGTATGTGCGTAGCATGTCACAGCTTCTAGCCAGAGCACAAGTGAAGTAGCAGCAACATCCAAACAAAAGTCATTCCCATATATAACTGGAAGCTGTACAGTGATTTTTTTCCTATAACGTGAATTTTATGTTATGAATTCTAAATGCCTTCCCGTAACCCTATTACCGCCTCCAACCTTCCCCAGCCCCTGCTCTTTTCTTCAGAGGAAGAGTAAACTTCTGTCACGGGGAAGCACCAATCTTTTTGCTCTCTTGTCCACAAACCAATGGGACTTACTGCCTCTTAAACTTACTGCCCTTAATCCTCTTCCTTTTTTGCCCATTCAAGTCTGAATCTCTTTGAACTCTTTCTCTCGGTCCATACACCTCTTCCCACAAGAGCACTGTAATGGCTGGAAGACTCCAACTCTGTTATTCATAGATATGATCCCACGGGAATGCTGGTGGTGCATGTTCTGCCCTAGCTGCTCACTGTTCTCTGGCTGGGACACAGCTGCTCCCGCCTCCTGCCTGCTTCTGAGGTCTCTGGAGGAAACTTGCTGGCCTTCTGGTTTTGCTGTGTCAGAGAGCTACTGTCTATACTGATGAAGTGGCTCAAGGACACACAGTACAACCAGTAAGAGATGCTGTAAACTGACTCCAGGCACATTACTCTTGCCTGTCCTCTTTCAAATGACTCCAGCTTCCACTGAGCACTAGTGTATGCAGGAACCCAAGCTACTTCATTTACCATATAAAGGTATCTTAACCAGTGGGGAGAGGGTGATATAATTTATGCATGCAATGCATTCTTTCTAAACCCTCAGAAAATTAATGGAGACAAATGTCCATAATTTCAGTGCACACTTTTTTCAATAGCAAATGCTTACCTTGTGACATTTGGCAATTTAAACTTTAAGTACAGAACGGGAATTCCTATAAATTGCTCTGCCAGGTAAAGCAGTTCATAATTCTTTTCAAGGTTCAGTGGTATACACGCAGTAACAGACTGAAAATGGTAGAGAATAAGAGATGATGTTAATGCATTGTGATAGTTCATGAAGCAACTCATATGGTTGGCCATTAGCCTGTCATTTATTTATTTAAATAGCAATGGCTTACCTCTGGTTTTCCTCCTTTTTTTTTTTTTTTTTTTTTTCTAAACTTGAATACCTATGTACAAATGAAGGGGTGTGTTTTTCATTTTGCTTGAAATGTCCAATATTTAAGCTGTTGGAGGATAAATCAGGTTGCAACATAGTTCTGGTGGATTGCAACTAATATTTAGAATTTGAATCAAGAATTCAAGTCTTCTATCAGGCACTTTTCTTTCACCAGGGACGTGTGACACCCACCTACCAGAGTCCTGCCAGGCCCCCTTATTAGAGTTGTCCGGAATCTAAACCTGATCAGGTGTTAGAAGGGAATAAGGCCAGAGCTGTGTCTTGAGAAGATTTAATTAAAAAAAAAAAAAAAGTCACCTTTTATCTTCTTTATTAATATTGACGTACAGCTACTAATAGTTGAACAATCTCTACTACTACTAGAATCATTTACCTGGAATAAAAAGTAATAACTTACAAGTGGATTAAGTGATAGACTAATAGAAAATGTTTCTATCTGGCTATTCCATGAGTGTACTTGCCCTGTTTGAGCTCTGGAAAGGAACATTGATGAAATCAACACCACAATTCCTGCTATAATAATAAATTAATATTTCTGAGAACTGCTAGTGGGGATGTGAAACTCGTAAGACTATGTTCTCAGGAAAACTGTAAAAGAAGTTGTAAGTATTTGTGACTACTGAAAGGCCTACAACAGTATGTAAAACTGGTATTAATCCTAATACTCTAGCCAAAGCCAATGAGTAATCACAGTCAGCCAACTGCAGATGTAATGAGCGAGGAAAAAATGGTGCTTATTCTTTCAGGTATTCATCTACCTGAAGCTTTAAACAAAGACATTTATATCCAGGAATAATGTCTATTTTATGTGCCGTGCAAGTATAAACTAGCAAAACATTCAGTAAACAAATGTCAGGTATCCATTTGAAGGCACTGTTGATGTCTTTGTCTTCTGAAACTATGCTGTTACAATTAAGGTAATACCTACAGTTTTGTTTTAAAAGTAAAGCACTTGGACTTCTTTTAGATACAGGGAACTACGCTCTGCATTTGGAGAGAGGTGAGAAGACTCTTCCAGACTGTGGTTTAGAGAACCTGTCTCATTGACTAGAAGGAGTCTAAAAGCCTCCTTGATCTAAAGTTATCTGTCAAAACACCCCTTGAATATCTTCAGTAAGATGGCAGAATAGTAGTCCTACAGAAGAGAATAATCAAGAATAGGTGTGAAGGGCTTTTCTGTTCTCAATACATGCCATGATTCGATAAAAGTTAACAATGCAGTTCCCAAACTCTGACTTCTGTAATCACGATGCAGCGGTCTCATTAAATGTATAGGTGCTCATCCTGAATTTTATGGCTTCTTCATTTTATGTCTGCCAGTGTCACTAGTCTTTGGACTGCATATATTTTCAGCTGATTAAACTTTTTTTTTTTTTCTAATTAAAAAGCCTGAGACTAACTTCCAGATAGAGTTAATCACTTCTGAACAATATTGACAACAACACGTAATGAGGCTAGAAAATGCTCTTCCTATTTAATGAATAAGCAAAATGAAATACAACGACTGCAAGCGGTTCAGAATTAAATTTCAGAAAGTACAAACAAGATCTAACACATACATGCTACAACTTGTGTCAGACCTTGCTCCTACAGTTTAAGCCCAATTTTGTTACACTATGTTAGAAGTGGTTTTTTTGTTGGCAGTTATCTGAGCTCACTTAGCATAACAAATCTCAGCCTGCCTTTCAAAGTGTACAGAGAATCACAAGAAAATTCTTGAACTGGGATTCTCCAGAGTTTCAAACTTTCTGCTACTAAGAAATTTACATTTTCAAACTGACCAAGAAAGCTGATTTTGGCTGCTAGACGTTCTTCAATTGGCAAGTATTGCGAAGTGCTTTTTCTTAAGCTATGGCAGATGGGAACTGTGAAAAACAATTCAGTTTTTTCAACCCAAACAGGAAAAGCACAGAGTAATTCTGAAAGAGTGAGTGAAAACTTCTGCGCAGTCTAAGGAAAACCTGGGAACATATGGACAAATGGAGTATTCTGGCTCTGAATAGGATGAACAGGAATTATATCTCTGATAGGTGAAAGCTGGGGCTCATTTTGGAAGCAGCAGGGAATAAAGATGACTGGCTAAAGCAAGCTTCTCTTGACAGGATTCCTGTAAATGAGCATGCATGAACTGAATGGCATCCAAATCCCTACTGGGTCTGCTTTGTGAGCCAAACCACAGCACTTCCTCAGCAATTTTGAATCAGTTCTCAAATACCTTCCTATTTTCCTTAATCTAACTTATCCTGTCATTGAGAAATATCCAACTTTGTGATTTTCTGCATGTAATTTTACATAGTGCAGTTTTACCTCACAATTCTTCATGTCCTTAGAGAGCTTGAACCCTTTCTTGCCATCACAATAGCAGCTATAACTTCCTGGAGAGTTTACACAGAGTTGAGCGCAAACATTTTCAGCACATTCATCAATATCTAGGAGAAATGGAAGCAAACAGAAAGATTTATTCAGATCATTCATGGCACAGTCTGAAAACTAACACAATAAATCAATGGAATAATGGACAAGATGGGTTCTCTGGCATAACATGAATCCAATAGGTGACTGCTGCTAAGCTAGACTAATGCTAATGGATGTCTCCTATGTAAAATTTACAATCCAGAATTACCTGCTGGGTGTATAAAACCTAGTAATCTGATAGAAGCTTTGTGTGCAGAGCTGGGGAAAATCTGGTCTGATTTGTGAGGCAGTAAGAAGCTGAGCTATAAGGTGGCTGAATTAGTGAAAGAGACCTCAATAAATCACTACCATTTATGGCAGAAATGCCATTCTGGGTCAGATCTCTTTCTCTATAAGATGTCATGAGAACTCAGAGTATTAAGAGTATATATGGCAAGTATGTTGAGAAAGGAAATGAATGCTTTATTCATATAAAACCAAAATAATTTCAGAGCAAAATACCTTTTAAAATAACATACAGTAATCTCATAAATACACAAGTTTCAGACAGCATCTATTTGTAGAGACCAATCTGATTTGAGCTGCGAATAAGCTAAACCAACTAAAAGAACTTTTGTTTTCTATTTAGTAGGCTACACACAATAAATAATTTAGAAATGAAAGGTTGTATAAAAGGTCAAGGTAACTCTTACACTTCCAATATAGAAACAAAATCTCTCCTGGATAAGAGACTCTAATGAGGGTGATTTTGGGCCTCAGATTAAAGAAACTGAAATACTTGTTTTAAAACAAATGGCTCTTCTAGTGGGAAAAAACAATTTTGTACCAATGCGTGCTGTTAAAAACTCTGGTTTATACTATGCTAGGGTTTTTTTAAGATGAAAATCCTTCTTTCTGTTGCCTGGAGGAGGAAAGAAGAAAATTTAAAAAAAAAAAAAAACAACAAAAAAACAAAACAAACAAACAAACAAAAAACCAAAACAAACAAACAAACTAACAAAACAAAACACCACAAAACAGAACACAAGAACTTTATTGGAGAAACTTACTTTGTAGTGAGCATGCATAATCTCTTTCCAAACCAGGATACCATGTTTAACAGTTTGTTGATGCTATTCTGGTATCTACCTATGCAGCAGTTAACAATCATGGGCAAGTTGCTCTACTGCCAAGCGCTAGCATTTTCTACATAATTTAAATGGCCATCAGTTCATTAACATGTTGAGGAAATTGGTGTCATGTTTGCCTGAGGAGTTCCCTATTACTAAAATGTCTCCTTTTCCTCCTCTTTGCCATAAGTCATCACTACAAGGGGTCTGTGCTCAGGATTACACTCCTTTGTACGTGATCTTATCAGAAGAAAAAGCTGTATTGTTCCATACTGCAACTAATACAGCCAGAACCAAAGTCCTGCTGAAGATCTAGTCACAGGCTGTGTCAGTTTTCCTGCTGACATTGCCACCTGACATGGGGCTGTGTAAGCTGGAGGATTCAATTAAAGTCTTCTGCTGGTGTTTGCGTAATTTCTACCTCCTTCTGCTCATCTCCCACTCTACCCTCTGATCTTCACAAGCTGGATGGCCCTTTATATAGACTGGTCTATGTGATACCAACTCTCATGTTCACTCTTTGCATGAACTACTGAGGACTCTTCCGAGTTGCTTCTATTAGCTCCAGAATGATTGCTTACCTCTGACCTGTCAAGCTGAGAACTGCCTCCTGCTGTGTAGCCGGCTGATGGAATACAACTGTGAGGTTTTTGGAAAGAGTTTCAATGCCATTTTGAGCTATCTTAGCAAGTTTAAGAATGATTGTACTGCATGCCAGAAGCCTAACAAGTGTCTTGGTCGTTCTACTGAAAGGCACAGGATGTAATACATAAATCTCTAGTATATTCAAGCTGTGCAGAATTCAATGTGGCTTTAGCACTCTACAGCCAGCTCCACCACCTCCTTGCTTTCATTTCACCAGAAGAGCTCTCTCCCATGGAAGGGGGTGAGAGGTGGGAAAAGAAACAAGATTCTTAATGGGAGTCCTCTGCACGACTATCATGGTACTTCTACAAACAGTGAGCTCAGATCAACTGCTCTGTACACTGTTCCACTGCCTGCCCCAGCAGGATTCTCTGGGGATACACTGGGTTATAAAGACACATAGAAGACCTCAAGCATTTGACCAGCAAGCAGTGCCAGAATGTTTTCTTGTTCTGGGGAAAGGCTTAATACATATTGGAAGACAGTTCCTAAAATATAAGTGGAGAGTTGATGACTCTGGCTTTTTGGATTGTTCAGGTTCTAACTGGTCTTAGGTTTACAGCTGCAGAAAAGGTTATATAGAACATTCTTCCACTTTTCTCTGCTCTTTCAAGTGCTGCATCCATCCAAATTGCCAGCTAAGTAAGTAAAAGGAATTTTTAATATAGAAATACAGTATAGGATGTTCCTTCAAGTTCACCTGACATTTTGCATCCTCTTGAGTTAGTTTTAAATAACGAGCATATGAATTAAATTATGATTGTCTGAAATTACAGTCCCTTTGGAGGTGGATGTTTGCTAGTGTTAAGAGTTTTATCTTCGCTCAGATGTGAGAAAGCTGTCATATTAAAAAGTGTTACTCTTCACGTGTATATATATGTATGCACACATGCAGGCTCCTCTAACCGTAAATTACCAACCCTTTACTCATGGTTTAATACATATTTCATTCATTTTGGCCTCTGTTACCTGTAGGACTACTTAGAGGAGTAAGATACAAGGGTGGGCTGCAATGTCTTAGTCAAACTTCTTTCCATATGCTTTGGAGATAATGCTTGCACATCAGTCATGTGGCAGGATTTGGTCAGTTGTTAAGAAATATTTTACTGATGTACATTTGCAACTGATTGACCCCTTAATTTCCTCCAGCTACAACTAGATTACCTCTTACTCTTTTGTTTGCTATGTGTAATCCTTTCCATTTAGAAATCATTACACTGTTTATGGTCTTGATGAGGTTGCCTAACCCAGTAGATTGCAAGCTCAGCTTGGTGAAAGGGGTTCTGCTGTGAAAGTCACTTCCTAGTAATTTCTGGTGACTGGCAATCTGATGCCTACTTAAAACTAAGACTACAAGATGATGTGTTACAACATGAAGCTGCTTTTGTCACTGCTGTTTTTGGCATCCTCACTAACATGTAAAATGAGGCAGTAACAAAATCCAAAATGTAGCCTAGCCATACTATGCAGTGGGTGAGAAGAACTCTTTCTGTGTACTTTACTACCCTGCCTGTTTTGTGGGGGGGGTGGGGCGGGAAATCATTCTGGTTATGATCATTTGGGGATCTGAAAAGGCCAAGAAATCCACCTAGGTCTAAGCACACAGAGAGAAGGAAAACCCCAAAACCCCAACCCTATAGCCTGCCTGACTGTGGAGATGTAAAAGGAAATAAAAAATTTAACACCTCCCAAGAGGAACTGGAGTAGAGTGACTCTGAGAAGCACTTCTCTCCCCACACCCTTCCCAGAGAAGCATGACTCTGTGTAGACACTTCAGGAGGCATTGCTCTCTGTGAAAGATCCTGTACTTCTTCCAGTACTTAAACACCTAGCAGTGCAAAAGTATAACTGCAAGCATGGGTTAACCAGTAGTACTAGAGTAAATCTGAGTGCTGAATTCTCTGAAAGCAGCAGTTAATTTTGAGCACATTCCTCAGGCCCAGGGCCTGCAGATAAACAGAGACTTATGAAGTTATTACAAAAGCTTATCACAGTTTGACAGATAAATTTCTACCATTAAATCAGTTTCTCAGAGACTTGCACCAGTCTTGGGGGGGTATAAATTTCCATTACCCAAACTGAACCTACTGGTCAAGGGGAAGGTATCTCTCCAGGGTGTACTATAGCAGCAGAGGGACAGGAAAGCTTCTTGGATAGGTATGGAGTCTCCTTCCTCAGCAGATGTTCTGGAATCCCTGATCAGTCCGAATGGCAGGATCTCCCCCTGCGGACAGAAATGCTGACGTGCAGTCTGGAGGGGACCAAGTTTTTTGGAGGCTTGTTATAATCTGTGCTATAACTATCCTGCTTTTTTCTTCCAAGTTGTAGTCAGCATCTTTGCATGTTTGTCTGAGCTATTTCAAAGGCTGTCCAAATGTCAGTCCCACATCATAAAACAGTCAGCAGAAGCTATGCACATAAACCCATGAATCTGAGCAGCATCCTGGGTTTATACAGCTGCTTTCAGTGGAAGGCTAAAACAGCTTGCTTCAGATAAGTTAGTAAGATATGATAAAATCAGCTACAAAAGAGTTGCATACCATGTCCTAAAAGGGAGCTACCTTCTATAAGGCCAGGGGAATATGGTGATTCCCCCAGAGCGTGGATGTGGGTAGGCAGGGTTTTGTGTGTGTTAAACAATTCATGTGGGAAGGGGAAACCCTGATTCCTTGTCTCATATTTTCAGACAATGAGGGACTGATACCTGAAATAGGCATACTTTGTGCTGTTTGATTAAGTCATTCAGTAACTTCTTTAAAGTAAGTTCCCCCTTCAGACAATGAAGAAGAACATGGGGAAAGCCATGCCAAACCTTAGGCCATTCTTTAAAATATGGGTTCAGCTCAGTTTGCCTCCCTGATATTGATGGCAAGACAGACCCCTCTAGTACAATAAGCATACTTACTCATTCCTACCACCCCTTTTTTTGGTAAGGTATTTAAAATTGCAGAGGTGGTGAGAAGAAGATGATCAAATTCTGTATATAAAATTGTATGGCTTCTATGAAACACTGGACTGCACTATCTTCGTTGATAATATCTCCCAAAATGTGGGGATGAAGAACAGTAGCAACATTATCCTAGGAATGAGTGAGTAAAAAACCCAAATGTCTTCTATCCCACTTCCATTGTGGAAGTATCATATGATTGTGGAGTATCATGGAGATAGCTGTGCATTAATGTATGTAAATTTGATTTTTCTAATAAGCATAATTGAATTTGGCCACTTACATGCAATATGACAATGAAAAACTAATGTCATTCAGTACTTCTGTAAGGCTACGTTCCTGTCAGTCTGCACAATCCTGTCCTCAGACGGGATTTGGTGACTCATTTAATGTGGTTACAAGGTCTGAAAGCTTAGCAGCATAATCCTCCTTCTAGGAGGTAAGACTTTACTCATTTTAATGTCCTCATCTTGCAACCTTCTGGAATCTATGTTTCATGGGTTGCATCAAATTGAATTTATCTGCAGAAAGTACTAAGAAGAGTGAGAATTAGATTAATTACTGTGAAGTTTTTCTCATTTCAGTGCATGCAGGGACACAAAATTGTCAGCGATGTTTTAATCTCATAGTAACTGGACAAAGAGCAAACATCTGAATATGTAATCATTACCACTGTGCAAAGCTTTGTCACAAGAAAGCTGCATGAAGAACCATGGACCAAAAGATTCATAGCCAGCAAGAAGCTACTTTTGTGTCCTTGTGAGCGATAACATTAAGGCAGCATTGAACATAAAAATCAGTCACTGATGTATTTTTCTTAAACTGGCAATGTAGAAAATTCCTCTTCGTAGTAAAACTCTAAGATCTTATACATCTCTTCTACAACTGAAATTTAATTTCTGATGTGTGTACTAAACAGCAACTTTAACAAGTAGACAGAAATAAAATATGTTCTAGGACAATTATGGAAATACTTTCAGTACTTGAAAAAGTTATTTTGTGACGGTCTGTGTATGAATGGCTTCTTGCTGCTTCACTGATAGCTATCAGTACTTTTCAACTTTGCTATAAGTGTTACAGAACTCTTATTTTGAAATTCTTTCTTATGGATTTTAATTTCAAAAAGGAATATTCCTGAGGAGAGATTCTTTTGGTGCAGCCCCTTTTTTCATAGCTCCTTTTATGGATATTTAAGAACTTTATTTTAAACATTTACAAAAAATCTTTTATACAACTGCCATGCTGTCATTTCCAGCCTAGAATGGAGAGCAGTTCACTCTAATGTTGTTATTTTCACGTATAACTAGATAACCTGAGGAAGGATTAGATGAATGTTGTTTTAAATGGAATTCAATGACCCTAGTGAAAAGTTCTTTCCAGTATCTGAGATCTAAAGACATATAAAGGACAGAGACTGAGTCCCTGGCCATGAGGGTTAAATAGGCACCTAAACAGCCTATCAGGTGGATTAAGACAAGCTTTTTAGGTTTTTGAGACAACTTGATTAAGCACGGTTTTAATTTCTGGTGATTATCACTTTATAAATCTTCCTGTTTTTCCCAGTTTGGAATTGCCAAATAAGTACTTTTAACTGCTTCTGCTATAGCTTATCTTGAATTAAGGATATATATTAAACTGATTGACATCAAATATTCCATCCTTATAACTGTAATGATGCTTAAGAACAAAAGTACAAAACACTGTAGTAAGGTACAGATCCTCAGCACATTGCTCCAAGTTATCTGAAAGAAAGATGCTAGCTCATTTGAGAGCTTGAACAGAAAGTCCTCTCTGCAGTGAGACAGAAGAGCTTCCATGAACTGAGAAAGTTATCGGGCACACAGGAGGACATGGGAGTATGCCATAAATCCCTCCAACATCTGGGAGTAAGTCTTTACATGTAGTGTATACAGTTGCAATATAGCCTGACTGAACCTCTGAAAGAACAAACAATTGAGTCATATTGTAATAAACAATATAAAGATTAATAAATATACCACTCAGTGAGATGCTGGAGTTCGGTAGAGCAGTGGATTAAAAATTAAAAAAAAAAAAAAAAAAGGAGGTGGTAGGAGGGTAATTAAAGAGAAAAGTGAGGATGGGCGAGGAAAGACCTACCTTCACAGTTCTTCGAAGTTGAATTATATGTGTAGCCTTCTGCACATTCACATTCATATTTCCCCAGGGTGTTTTTACACATGGCTGTCCCACAGATGTTTGGATGTAACACACATTCATTTATATCTAGAAATACAAGCAAGATATTAAAAACAAGCCACTCTCCTGCATATCATTTTTTCCTAACCCTATCCAAAATTCTGTAAACCAAGTAAGTCTGGCAAACTGGCTCTTTCTTGCTAGATCTAGCATGCTTTCATAGAAGACTATAGAATAGTATAGCTGTAAATATTTCCAGAGGTCTCTAAAAGGCACTTCTGCATGTCCTCAGTGAAAAACAACTTATCTGCCTTCCCACCCTTCTCATTCTCTCATGTGTTTTGTGGCTAACAAGAAAAGGGATGCGTGTCCAGGAAAGCAGAGAGAAAGAGTCTGCAGATTTCCTATAAACTAAACCAGACTGCATAATAAAATCCTATCTTAGAAAAAGACACCCAGAAAGACAAGAGATAATCCTACCAGAGTTTCTTACATGCTACAATCAATTCATGTCACCATTGCCTTTTAATTGGCTATACTGACAGGTGTTCAAGTCCCTCGCTGTCTCTCCATCCCTCAAACCATTTCAGTGTCTATCTTTTGTGTTGTTTCCAATTTTTCAATGCCATTTTCAAAACGCAGATGTGACAACTGGATGCAGTGTACAGTATCAATCTTACTAGCTGTCTTGTAGACAGAAAAATATCAGATCCCTGGTAATACTGCAATTCCCACTTGTATGTGCAGGGATAGTTCTAGTTTTCTCTGTGGTTTTGTAGGAGTCATGGAAATGGTGCTGTAGAGGGAGAACAGATTCTGCCACCAGCTTGCTAGGACTCCCAGAACATTTCTTAAGCCAAAACTGTCCTGAATTTGGCCTACTTTTCTACAGTTACTGTGTGTACTCCAAATTCCTAAGTGTGTAATTTTGTAGTTGGATGTAATGAAACGCTTAAATCAGGTTATCAAATGACCAAACAAGTACTCTAGGTACTGAGGTATATTACCGTATTTTTATCTTTCATTATTTTTTTAACCAACTTTTCCAGTATCTTTCCAAGAATTACAGAGATTCTAACCAACTTATCTGCTTGTCTTTTTTGACAAAACAGCAATCTTCTGTTCTTCTGGAATTTCTCTGGAAATTATTAATTCACAAAAATATATAGACTAAAGGAAGTGACAGCAGGTGCTGACTCTTAAGTCTGGCCTCTTAAAGTATTTGACATTATCCAAAACTGTTGTCATAGTCTGGCAATAAAACATGACATTAAAATGGAATGAGGTTGTATTCTTTTGTAACTTTGCAGTAAGAATTGCTAATTATATCAGTACATAGTGTTTATCTGGAATGGAATGAAGCATGTAGGTCAAGGAAAATAATAGCAGACACAAGCATGTACAGAAAAAAATTATGCTGGGTCAATAAAAGACAAAGCTTTCTCTCCATTAAGAGCATTTTCAGATTCATTAATAGTTTCTTCTCCAATGAACTTCAAACTCTCAAAAGAGCAGCATCACTAATTAGGAGTGATTCAGCCTAAACCAGTGTTTACCAGACAGGATTTCCATGTAACAATATTAGCTGGTCTCACCATTCTAGATTTTTGTTTCAGCGTGCTTAAAGGGTATGTGAAACTGCTTAGTGACCAAACCAAGTTTTATGGAGCTCTAGTAATGAAGCAGAATCTAATCTGTAGCCTTTCTTTTTTTAGTTCATTTTTGTTTTGGCTTTGTTTGTTTGTTTGTTTTTCCTGAGTTGGTTTCAACTCACCTCAGTTCCTTGATCTGGTTTACTACATGGTTGCCCAAATGCTTGTAGCTGCAGGTAGAATGAGTAGCCAAGTTGAGGCAGGGCAGCATCTTTCAGAGGCAATGCAAGTTTCTGCTGACGTAGAGTATTTATGAAACTACAGGACTAAATTCTCTCTTGTCTCTAGTCAACAGGCAATGTACTGTCACATAATGATATTCTTAAGTCTCACTTCCTACCTCCGCAATCCCGTTTATCTGAATGCATGAAGTAGCCATCTTCACATAAACAACGGTAGCTTCCAGGTAAATTCGAACAGCGTTGGCTACAGCCTCCATTTAAGTCTTCACATTCATTTATATCTAGAAGGGAGACAAAATAAAAGCCTCTGCTGAGGGGAAAGTGTTCATTGACCAATTGCGTAGGGATAGGTATACTTAAAGATCTGATAATAACCAGTAGTAGTAGAACTATGATTGTGTTCCTGAGAACTAACATGATAATGACATTAGATACTATACCTTCTTCGCATTTCTCTCCTTGCCATCCTGGTTTACAGACACATGTATATTTGGCTTGTCCATCTATGCAATCCTTATATCCATCTTTATGGCATGGCAGAGGGCTACACTGGTTTGAAATTTCTGTGGGATGGAAAAAATTGGAAATACTTGTTATTTGGGGTGACTCTTCCTCAAGGATCAGTTTAGTCTTTGTTCTTCTCACAGGTACCCTTCATGAAATAGGAAAGGGCCTGATGAATAACATCAAGTACCCACACGATCACCTTGCTACTAATTCTGTCAGCAAGAATTTGCAAGTGACTGAGAAAAAACAAAGCCACCAGTACTGCTTCTTTGTCAGACAGAAAACAAATAGAAAACAAATAACTCACTAAACCATGTTAATCCCTGCAAGATGTGACTGAACATGGACTTGATACTATTTTCATTACATTTTAAGGATGTATTTCACTTTTTAAAGAACAGTGCTCTGCTCTATTACCACAAATTTCACTAGAAATACCAAAGTTTCAAGAATACCAAGAATTCAAGATTATGGTGATCAGTTTCTCTGTTCAAGGAGGGTCACATCTACAGAGAAATCAACACCTTATGTTGCCCTGGTTGTCCAGGTCATCAGTGTCTAATACTGTCACCTTTTACAGACATTAACTTACATGACAAACAGATTTGTGTCATAAAGAGCAATCCAAGACTTCATACATGCTAGCAAGATCTGAGAAAGCAAGGCTCAAAATACATAGATTGGGGCAGAGAACACACTTACTGCCATGTTTTCTCTAACCAAAATACATAAAGCTCTTTTAACTTTTCCCACTATTTTCATAATTTTACATCAGCATACCACATAAGCCATCATTCTCTCCTGAATATGCTGGCAGCTTTTTCAATTATTTTTCTGCAGGCCTCCAAACATTACAAATGCACTGTTTCTACTTTAAAGTTATGTTCTTGCAAAGCTCTAGAATGTCATTCTGAGGCATGCTTTTAAAAAAAGTAGTGTCCTAAAAAACAGATAGCAGAATGAAAAGAAGAAAGAAATTAGTGATGTTCAGATTGAAAAAAGTAGAATGAAAGGCAAGTGTTTCTGAAGACCAAAACTTGCTACAATTCCGTACATGAGGCCTCAATGGATTTCTTCAATGTTTCTTACTTCACTCAAAAGAACTAAAGAACTGAGCCCCACAGAACTGTAAGTTTAGCTTTCTGTGACTAAGAAAGCTTAACAAAATCTGTATTAGTGTATTTGTCAATTAAATCTACTTCTAATTATGTTCTGCTGCAAGTAAATCCAAAAGCCCAGAGGCCAGCCAAGCTCCAAAACTACAGCACACCTCTAGAATAGGTGCTGCATGTCATGTAATATCCATAGTGCAGAGCAAAGTACTCCAGTTGCAGATGAAGAATGACACAAGAAATTGCATAGAAGAAATAAAAGGAATGTGGTTTATATATGGATCCTTCACAGCAATTTTCAAATGTAAGCTCTAGAACTCCCTATGTTTTTTTCTCTTCTTTCATTATTTACTGCTTCTGTAGGTCCAGGAACAAGTGTGTGAACTAAGCTTGGTATGATCAAAGCCTTTCATAAGCGACAGATGTGGAAGGCACCCTCAGTGTGCAACTGGGAAACAAACTTGACTGTAAGTGTTTCTGAGCAAAAGGCAGTGATGGCTTGCAAGAGTCTGAATTGAAAAAAGATGGATTGGGTTGGCAGTGTGAAATATGAGTAGATGGAATGAGGTGAACTAAGGATATAAAGGGCAAGAAAATTGAGGAAACCAATGAATGAAAAAAAGTATTATTGGTGAAATACACGAGGGGAAGAAGACAAGACAGGATGGATAGGACTGGCTGGACAAAGAGGTTATGTCCACAGATGAATGATTAAGATACATGCCACTGCAGGAACAGTAATGTGGCAACCATTTGTTCTGAAAGTGGGGCCTGGTGTTCCTCTTTTCCCAGTTCAGGGTGCCTTCTGACCTACTACCCAGCAATGTTTTTTGATCAACATTTGTGACAACGACTAGATGTCAGAAGAGATACTCTGCCTGCAACAGAAAGGGTAGGTGGCAAGAAATGTACTGTGGTACCCCTACCCTCTGTCACTCTGAGGTTTTTGTGTCCATGAGAAGTGTCATGGTGAGCTGGAAAGATGCAAATGCAGGGATTTTTAAGTGTTTATTTTCAACAGTAATTAAGTATGAAAATTTATGGGATAAAGTTGTTTAGGGACTTAAAGATGAAGCCTGCATGGATTAGAAAAGTATGAAAAAGGGTCTCCTATTCCTGTGAAAATTTTCCTTTTCCTTCCTAGATGGGGATTAAAAAGTCAACATATTCAAAGTTTTTTGTAAGTGTTTATGCAGTGTCTTTAAAATGTGTGTTCATTTGTGTTCTGAAACAAGTCATTTGGACAAATCTAAACATAATTAAATTATTTTTCAGTTCTGCTTGCATTGTTATTTTTATTCCCTGATTTTTTTCAGCTTGAGATTCAAACTAGTTACTGTATTATTAGAAAGTAATTCTTATAATTATTTAATAATTTCTCATTAGGAAAATTGTATTTTTCATTTTGACAATATCAAAACAATTTGGATTGATAAATTCAGAAAGACAAAACTTTTAAAATTAAAAAAAAATTGTTGATACTCGTATCAGAAAAGTTTCATCTCAATGAAAACATATTTTTTAAAAATGTTATATAGTTTTAATGGGAATTTAAAATTCTGGTTTCTCTGCAGTAGCTCCCTTCCAGAAACGTGCATAAATTTTGTTGAACATTTAAGTCTGAGAAACAACTGGAAATTTTATGCATACTCACTTTAGTCCCCCTTTATCCTGGTGACTGACCAACGGTAATGGTTTATTTAATTTGATTTTATAATGTAAACCCAAATGGAGAAATACAGTGACTATCAAGTAAACTAGTTGTTTTCACCAGGTAATACAGAAACACCACACATTCACGCAACTCTGCTAAGTCCCTTCCTCCCGGGACCCCTAATGAGAGAAAGAGTGGTATGAATGGGACCACGTTTTAGTTTGTGACAGCAGTCACATCGGCCAAGTGATCTGGAAAATATGTTCAACCATGACCATATGCAGGGTAATTATTAAGGATTTTTTGGCCTTCCCTTGCTTTCAATGACAAAAACAGTGTCAGATGGTTAAAGGATAAGTAACCCCACTCAAACCAAATAAAAGCTGCTTTGATGTAACCAGGCTGTAAAGGTTTAAGAGGTTTAGAGAGATGTTTCAACTGTGACAAGTAGGCAATATGGTACAGATTGCTTCCTGTGAATTTACTAGAAAAACCATAATTCGTACAGGACTTATGAATATACAGGCATAAAAAATAAAATATCTGAGCAACATCACAAGTTTCGTGCTTTGTGACCTTCTTGTGTCTGAAACCAATGACTGTGTCTTCCAGCTAATACTTGAATTTTTCAGCTGGTAACTTACCCACTTCACAAAGGGCTACAGTGTAACTATGGGCCAAAGAGTGGTAGAAAGGAGAATTAACCAGATCTCTTCCCTTAACTGACAGAAAAGAACTTCCCAGATGCAGAGTCAGACATTACTATTAAAGACGTGGTTGAATACCGAGTACATACTAGGGAACATCGCTGCCTTGGTGCATGACACTTCTAGGTTTCCAGAAGAATTCTGCCTTTCATTTTGCAGTTCAGCATGCTTCTTTTCTAGTATACTTTTTAAAGTTAAAAACAGTCACTGACACCGCTTGCTCTGAAAATGCGCTGTCTCACTTAATATTTTTTTGTCAATTTCTGTTTTAGATTACTGAATTTGCCTGAGTTAAATGGAAATCTGTCTCTTTTTCTGCCTATGTGAACTGCTTTCTAGCCATGTATGTGTGTGTTCTTAGATGTGAGTGCATTAGGTAAAGTATCTAACAGCAGCGCTTACCATTGACACAAGCCCTCAGGTCAGCTGGAGAGTCTGGAGTAACTGCAGTAACCCTGAAAATCCCTGCTCGATGGGAGGCAAGGCAGCCTGCAAATGCAAACCCACACAATCTTCTTATGATATAAACACTCATTTAGACTGAAATTACAACAGCTTATGCATGGCATCTTCAAAGAGTCTGTTCTCACAGCTTGAATTAGAAAACTTGTCTGGGCGTATTAAGGACAGCTGATCACAGACCAACCTTCTGAGTGCCTCTGCTAGAATCTAAGCACACAGAACTGCCTAGGAGCTACTAAGCATTATAATCAGCATGAAAATCATTCAAGCGCCATGGGCAGAATAACTAAACTAGTATTATCCAAAAAAGAAGACCAGTAAATGATATATTAGAGTTGTTCAGGTTTTTTGTACTTACTTAAATATTTGGGATAAAAATACTCCTGCAGAAAGAAAAGAGAAAAAAAAAAAAAAAAAAAAAAAAAAAAGAGTAAGAAAATTTAAGGTAGATAGAATCACAGCAAAATATATCCCTGAATACATTCTGAAATATGTTGGTATCATAGCCACAAAAGAAGCAAAAAAGAAAAAGTCACTTTGACTCATAGAATATAGACCAAGTTTTCTAGATCACTACTTTTTAGGCTAAGGCAGCAGATTATTTAATAAGCACAAGACTCAGTGGAGAGATTAAGATACTGCACTGAACTAGACAATTTAAAAGTGAAGGCAATGAAAATTAATTGGGTGTCAAAATGACTCTGAAAATTGTCTCTTTAAATGATAGGATCTTTCCCAACATTGTTATGGGATGCTGAGCAGCCTCCTTTATTTCCCTTTTTCAACATAAAATAAACAAAAAGCCCTGGAATAGGTTGAACATCTCACATGCAATTCATTCCAAATAAAGTAAAAAGTGTTATTAAAACAGAATTTGTTAGAAACAACTGATTATTGATTACTGAAACTATTTAAACTTAACAGTCAGTATATCCAAATACATGCAGTTTTATTAGAGACAAGACATGGAACTGCTGTAGTTCGCAAAACAAGAATTCATCTTAACCAAATCTATTTTGTAATAAACCTTTTACAGTACAAAGCTGAATAAAATATACCTAATACTAAATAATGTGCAGTGGGAATGAACTGAGGAACAGAGTTCTCCCCGCCAGGAAAAAAGCTCACAGTAGTATGTCAAATCCCTTCATTAAAAGGGCTGCATGCCACGCATCCTCTGTGCAAAATTTTAATTGAAGCCAACAGAGTTTCCCCACACGGAATGCTTGCAGACAACTGTGGTCTAAAACTAGTGATCCGTACTGGAAATTAAAATAATATCTACTCAACTATTATCTTTGCTTGTACAGTCTTTATTATTAATTGTGCAGGTTCTATACACAAAAGAATTTCAAACCAGGTCTTGGTCTGCATGATGGTGTCCTATTAGCTTTGCAGTGTGAATTCTATGAACATCCAGCTTTCCCTCTGCAAAGAACTACTATCTACCTCATCAGATTCATCAGATACTTACAGTTTCAGGATTATTTTCAAATATTTCCCTGGCTTCCTCCTTATTGCATAATTCTTCAATGCACTCTCTTTCTAGATTTCCCTTCTTACTTTCTTCCATAAAAGAATTTGCTCGACGTTTCCTCACCAGGAACTGAGAGGCGTACTGCTGCGATAGAACTTCGTAGAAACAAAGGAGCTCTGTTGTTATTTAACAGCTGAAAAACACTGTAAGCACTGAAAAAACATGAGAATCTAGCACAAAAATCTGAATCAAATGCTTAGTCAGGAGTTGGGGGTTTTTTACCATTTTGGAAAATGTGGGCAAGAAACCCTAGGAGTCTGCTTTCTGTATGTCGAGTAGCCGTTTCTGACCAAAAAAATCCCGAGTCACCAAAAAAAAGTTTGTGTAATGCTACGCCTGAAGCATAATTTAGATGTCATATTCAGGATAAGGTTGTGGGGTTTTTTTGGCTATGGATATTACAAGGTGAAACATGTGACCAACAAGCAGAAAAAAAGCGGCAAAACCTTTCGTATCACCTGTTTCAGTGATCTAGCAGTAACTATTCTGATCCTATTTAACTTATGTGAGACCAAAAATGTGTCTTATAAAATCAGGCTACCTCTTATATGTAATTAACATATATGTTACTTTATTTTTCAGAGCTGTAAGGAACAAGACAAAGTAAAAGGTAAGAATGATATCCTGAGAAATATCAAGACAGACAACCTACAAATACATTCACATTTTACCGAGATAAAATACAATCTTCACTATCGCTTGTATTTCAGATCCATCATGTGTCATCATTTAATTTTAATGTATCGTTATTGTCATTTTACTGACTTTTACACAAATGGTGAAAAAACAAGCAAGCTGAGAAATTATATTAAAAATTAAAGATGTCTGTTTGCTTCGATGTTCTTTGTAGAACACACGGCACTACAGGAACAGCAACTAATTCAGACTGCCTTGTTAGTTTAATTTTTGGACATACCTTGTGATTAAGAGAAAAATGGATAAGCACAAATAGAAAAAGTCCAGCTGACAGGGTTAAAGAGCGTGGCTGACATATGTTAACTGGAAAGCACCACGCTTCTACACCCGCCCTTCTTTCATCAGCCTTGCACAACTTAATCTCTCAGACCAGCACAACCGTGTGAGGGTCATGACACCTGCTGTGCAAACCAGATATGGTGTATATACATATTCATCACTAGGCTACAAAGACCAATTCAAGCAGACATAGTCAACTCCGTACTGTTTATGAGCATGTAATACCTCAAACTCAGAGCACCTGCATGAGACATGCCAGCAGCCAAGTGTCAGAGAACAGCCTCACAGTGTCTGTGCACTAACAGGAAAGAAAAAACTTAGATGGCTTATTAGAAAGAGCAGCTATTGAGGCCCAAAACCTGAAGCGAGAACAGCTTTCAGGCGACAGATGTAACTAAAACCATACCATCCCAAGCACACTACTTAAAGGTCTCTATCAAGTGGCAGTGAACACAACTGAAGCACTCTGAAGTGCTGCAACATTGGATAATGACCTGAAGAAACCTTTCTGTTACAGCATCCTAAATGTATTTGATGTTGGGGTAAGCTTTAACTCCAAACTGATCTATTTGCTTTCATTCTGGTAAGACTAACCTTCCTGGTAAGGCAATAGGTAAGATTTCCTGAGCATAAGGTGGACATACTACAGCATAGCTCCAAAGTTTTGGAGCACACCTTTATCTCAGCGAGCAACCAGCAAGTTGTTAGAAACAAGTCAGCTTGTGCCTTTCCCCACCATTAAGGGTATGTGCAGGCAGCAGGCTGGCATTTGAGGATTTATTTCTTCTTTTATACGTGTTGATCTGCATGGTGGTGTTACTGGAGACTGGAAAGAACTCCGTAAGGTGAAGACTGATCCTCAAGGAAATTGCTCAGAGAAAGAAAACTCATCTTACTTTCTGGGCTCCACTTCCAGCAATTCCTGGCACAAAATAAATGATTCAAGCCTGCTTTCCTATTCTACCGTTTTCCACCTTCACAAACTTTAAGGTATAGCATAAGTACATCTCAAGGTCTGTATTTCAAGAGCTGGATTTGGATTTGCTGCAACTGTGGATCTCCTAGACCTTTCCTCTCCATCCGCAAGCCTGTCACTAACATATCATCTGCTGGTAGACTGGCAAAAAGCATGGTGAGATGTCAGGACAAGAAGGACATCATGAGAGCTCTTCTGAGCCCTAATCGCATGAGAAGCATACCCAGAAAAACGTTTTGATAATTTATTTATCACCAACTGTTGCTAGCAGTATCACTTTAATTAACTGGAGTCAATGGCTGTATTTGTCATTACAGAAAAGCAGCCTAATATGAAGGATGCAGAAAGTCCATCTGTTCCAAGGCAAAAGGACAACAAAATAGTGAAATTGTGCATTGCACCTGCTGATTTTGTTTACATTGGAGATTTCTACCAGGCAAGCATGCTGGCTTAGGGGCAGAGGCTCTGTGGTATAGATGAGACCTAATTCACAGCTGGCTTTAAGCAATCTTGTTTTGACCTTTAGCTACATCGTTCTCATTTTGACACAGTTTTTCAGTAAATAAAGACAAGAAAACTCCACATACGTGCAGTGTTCTTGAGGACATTATACCAGGTGTAACAGTGCCTACCTCAGTTTTTCAGTACAGTGGGGTAATGGAAACAGGTCTTTTCTCCTATAACACACACAGCAGTTCAGCTTTCTCCTAAGCTGATTTCCTATGACTTTTGAGTTTAAATAAAATACGTAACTCAATGTAAATTCCATATTCTTAGTGCAAATATTTCAATTCCTATGCACAGACTTAATAGTGTATACCACTGTTTCTTCCTTACAAATATTATGATAGGACATCTTTAAAAAAAAAAAAAATCCCGACTACTGCTGCTGCCAATTTGATTACAGGAAACTCCAGCCCACTTCTGACCCTGTCAAACCAATAGTTAACCCTTAATGAACTCGGTGTGTTTCATTTGATTATCACTGAAGCCTTATGAAATTCAGTAGCCTTATGATTTCAATAGGTGTTGTACAGAGACTGTGTTGTGATTACTTATCAAGCACCTATTTAGAAGTAATGCTACTGAAAAAGAAAAATAAAATGGGGGGGAGAGGATGAGATTCAGTGGTTCCTTACAGCTGTTTTGTAGCGCAGATGCAACTATAACCCTGCCTTAAGTGAGCTAGTCAAACATAGCTTAGAGCTATTTACCCAATATCCCAGTTGTGCAAAGCAGTTGTAGCCTTCTTAGTGCCTCTCACAGAAACTCAGAAGACTCCATAAACAGAATAAAAAGGACCAGTGATGCCACTGTAGAAAGTGGCATCATCTTGTTTGTACAGCTGTTATATTGCAATCAGCACCACAATTCCAGTGACTAGAGTCTCCTGAAATGTTCATCAGTGACATAAGTTTTATGCAGCCAACAAAATAAAGTCAACCAAATGCTAATGTTTGCTTGTTCCTTCTCCATCTGATCCACAACGTGTCCCTCACTGGATGTTGGACCAAATGCAGCTGCACCAAGACTGGCAGATACAACTTTCCTTTATGTTTATTGTATGGTACAAGCTGCATTATTAAGGTTTTTCTATTTTCTGGTTTGTTTTTGTTTTTTTTTTTTTTTCTTTTCTTTTTCTTCTCATTCCAGAAATCCCTGGCATTGTTCTGAGTCAGGGATATGAAACAGGACCACATGGACCACAGAAATTTTGCATGAGTAGCACAATTCTAATTTCCCACTGTTCATAAAAGAAAAAACTGACAAGGTATGCAGTGGGGAAGATAAATGGAACAGAAAATGTGATGAAAACAGGGGAACATTCCAAAACATTTATTACATTTATTTTTAGGACGAGTTCAAAAATAAGTTGTAAAATGAACTTTCATCTTTCCACACCGATCCCTCCATAGTCAGAATCCCTAGCATTCAAACAAAAGTCTGACTAGTAAACATTAGGTTTTTCTTCTGCCTGTTTAATCATTAGTAATACACGTCAGAAACAGGCTTACTTTGAGCTGCAGTTCTGCTTGTTCCAGACACTGTCTTTTACTACTAAGCTCCAAGACTCCCGTGTCGAATACATAAGCTTTGATTATTTTTTTTTTATTTCTACGTGAGAGCAAGTATTTTTACAGTGGATGATCGGTCTGAACTTAACAGAGTCTGGGCCGCATGCCTGGTCTCCACAATAATGCCACTCTCCTGAGACCTAGATCTATCGAGTGTTTTTTTGTTGTCTTTTTTTTAATCTCTCTAAGCGAATCGAGCGCTAGCTGAAGGCACGCTTTCCCCTGAGCTGTACTTCGGTCGCACACACCTTCGAAGCCGCGACCAGCCGCCAAGTTACAGCTCCCGCTGCCCCAACAGTAACCGCCGAGCTTCGAGAAAAGCCTCCAACGCCGAGGGGACCGGCCGGGCGGCCCCCACCCGGGAAGGCAGGACGCGATGCACCGGGCGGGCGGGGAGGGCCGCCCCTCGCCCCGCTGCTGAAGCGGCAGTGGCACCCCCGTCCCCACGCACACGGGGCGCTCCTGCGGAGCCCCTCGCCCCCGGCACCGAGGGATGGGCGGTTGGGAGCGCGAGGGGCGCTCACGGCCCCGGCCCCGCGCGCCTTTCCGTCTGTCCGTCCGTTTCCCCCCCCTCCCGCCCCGCGCCTTCCCTCACTCACAGGTCGCGGCCTCCGCCAGGGCGATAGCCACCACGGCCAGGCCCGCCAGCAGCGGCAGGCACCGCCCGCCCCGCGGCCTCATCGCTACCGGGAGGGGGGGCCGCCGGGACCGGGGAACGGCGCCGTGACCGCGCGGCGGCTCCTCTGCGCGGCGGCGGCGGCGGGGCCGGGCGAGGTTCTGGGTGGGGGCGGGAGGGAGGGGCGGCGGGGCGGGAGGCTGGGCCGCGGCCGGGCAGCGTTGCCCTGCGGGAGCGTCAGGCGGGCGCCGGGGGCAGCGCCGCGGGAGACGGGGGCAGTTCGCGCCTGACCCGTGCCCGGGCGCCCTCCCCGGCAGCGGCTCCCCGGCGCCGCCGACGCACAGCGAGCGGGAGGGCGCAGCCCGAGGAAGGCCCGGCAGCAGCGGGAGAAGGGAGCAATTCCACCGGCCATTCCTGTAGGGTCGCGCCGGCCCCGGGTACGCGCGCGCCGTTGTTTACTTTTGAGGGGGGGGGGGGGGGGGGATGAGCGGTGGGCGGTGGGGCGGTCCGTCCTCGCCCCCTTGCAGCTGATTGGCTGATCCTCCGCCGGCCGCGGGGAAGCTGCCCGCTGCTATTGGCTAGCGGCGGGTTTGCCCCACCCCCCCTCAGCGCGCGTCTCCGCCCGAGCGTGGGCGTGGCCTAGCCTTCGCGCGAGCCTCGCCGCGGCCGGTGAAGTTTGTCCCTTCCTGTCAGCGGTAGTCGCGGGTTACCGGCCCGGGGGCGCGTTCCCCCCCCCCCCCCCCCCCCCGCCCACGGTCGCCTCGGAGACCGCCGGAGCCTCCGCTGGGCGACCAGTAAGTGCCGCTGGGCTGGAGGGTGGGGGGTAGGAACGGCGGCGGCTCCGGGGGTGTTACCGGCCGCCGCGGCCGCGGGGGCGAAGCGGCTGGTTGTGCGTCTCGCCCCCCGCCCGGCCCGGCCCCGCCGAGGCCTGTTTTTCCAGAAGCTGCGAGTGCGGCGGGAGAGGGGCGAGGCTGGCAGCCCCGGGGCCGGAGCTGAATCTCGGTGGTTGCGCCTCCGGGGACAGCCCGGAGCAAGCCCGCGGGGCTGGGGGGTGTCTCCCGGGCCGGCGGGGGGGGTCGCCGCGGGGCCGGCGGAGCTCGAGTCGGAGTTTTCTTCCAGCTGCGCTGCGGTCTCGGCGTATAAAACACATCGGTCTGTGTCCGCGGTGGCAGCCGTGGGCTGTGGGTGGTTGGCAGCGTGCGTGTAAGTCTTTAAGTGACAGAGAGTAGATTCTCTCTGGAATGTTGACTCCGACAGTGGAAAAGACAAGCAAAGGAAACGTGCCTTAACCAAAGTCTGGATTTTAGAGCTGCTTTGGTTTTGGAAACAGAGGAAGGGTAGGAAGTTGACTAGGAAGTGCAGAAACGTTACTTGAACTGATAGTCTTGTAGCAATTTTTCTTTACAGAAGAACTGATTGTCCTAGAGACATTGCTCACAATTACTTGTATGCTTCAGTTTTCCAGGACTTTACAGGTCTTGCTTGCACTTCATGCATCTGTTAACTACCCTGAAGTTTTGGTAGAGAGGATGGTATTAATGTTTTTGCTGAATATGCCTTCTTCACTGCCCAGTCGCTTGGTTTACTGTTCAAAATATAACACAATACAACCAAAATACTGTGTTGATGTAACTGAAATTCAAACAAGTCAGGTAAGGAACATCACACTTGATGAGGAGGATCAGCTTTAAATGACATCTTTAATTATGTCTTAAAGAAAGTGAAAACTTAATGTGACTGAAAAAAATCTCTACCATAAAAGCCCCTACCAAGGGCAGAACATTTAATGTAAACTCTGACAGTGAAATGTGTAAAAGATGCTTGTTTTGCAGTTTGATATGGAAGTGGTTAAACTTATTCATCAGATGACTTTGGATGTTGGACTTGCTGGTACCCAGTACTTTGGATCACGTAACATACGGGCTGCTAAGTAGCTCCTGATCTTGCGGTTATCGGTCATGTTTTTCTTAGTCGCTGTAGTACACTTTTTGTGTTCTCTTACCTAAAAATGGGATCTTTGACATTCTTAGTCCTTGACACTTAAGTGACCTGCTACCTAAATGGTATACTGAATTAACTACACAGTTTTACATATTTCTGAGCTTGTGGGCATGTTGGTTTTGCTTCACCTCAACAAGCATAAAGAGTTCAAGCTGACAGATATAATATCTGGAACAACTTCTGAATGTTGTTACTGGAACATCTAAATTGAACATCTTCATTGAACTGTTACATTTTGCTTTTCAGCAGAATTAGCTGAAAATTTATGGTGCTATGTTCTCAAAGTTAGCTTTGTTGGTACTTGCTTGTAGTTGAGATATGATACTCCACTGCATGTGGGGTTTTTTGATTTTTTTTTTCTTTTTTTTTTTTAGGGCCTGATTTTAATACTTGTAATAGTTGTAATCATCTTACTCTCCTTGTTAGGGACTTTTCTGTTCTTCATACTCTAACCTCTCCTGTGGAGAAGCTATTCTCAGGTGCTCTTGTGTAAAGGAATATAAATATTTAAGGAGTGTCTGTTGTCTCTACTCTGGAAGAAATCTGACCTGTTTCTGACATTGAATGGTGCAGATCCACACAAAAGCATTCTTGAATACAGCTGATCTGGATAACTACAGGCCAGCCAGTCTCGCCTCTGTGCCCAGCAAAATCATGGAGTGGATCCGCCTGGAAGCTATGCCGGGGCACATGGCAAATAAGGACGTGATTGGTGATAGCCATCATGGCTTCACTAAGAGCAAATCACACCTGACAAATTCAGTGGCCTTCTACAACAGGGTTACAGCGTTGGTGGATAAGGGAAAAGCAACTGTTGTCATCTACCTGGGCTTGTGCAAAGCTTTTGACTCTGTCCCGCATGACATCCTTGTCTCTAAATTGAAGAGACATTGATTTGATAGGTGGCCCACTTGGTGGGTAAGGAATTGGCTGGATGATTGCACTCAAAAGAATTTCAGTCAATGGCTCGATGTCCAAGTGGAGAGCAGTGACAAGTGGCTTTCCTCAGCAGTTGGTGTTTTGACTGGCGCTGTTTAACATCTTTGTTGGTGACACGGACAGCGGGACTGAGCGCACCCTCAGCAAATTTGCTGATGACACCAAGCTGTGTGGTGAAGTTGACACACTGGAGGGCAGGGATGCCATCCAGAGGGACCTGGACAGGCTGGAGAGGTGGGTCTGTGCAAACCTCATGAAGTGCACCAAGGCCAAGCGCAAGGTCCTGCACATGGGTTGGGACAATCCCAAACACAAATACAGGCTGGGTGATGAATGGATTGAGAGCAAAGGAGAAGGACTTGGGGGTATTAGCGGCTGGAAAACTGACTGTGAGCCAGCGATGTGTGCTCACAGCCCAGAAAGCCAATCGTGTTGTGGGCTGCATCAAGAGAATTGTGTCCAGCAGGTTGAGAGAGGTGATTCTCCCCCTCTACTCCACTCTGATAAGACTCCACTTGGAGTGCTGTGTCCAGCTTTGGGACCCCCAACATAAGAAACACATGGACTCCTCCTGGTCCAGAGGAGGCCACAAAGATGATCAGGGGGCTGGAGCACCAACCCTGTGAGGACAGGCTGAGAGAGCTGGGGTTGTTCAGCCTGGAGAAGAGAAGGCTCCAGAGAGACCTTATAGTGGCCTGCCAGTGCTTAAAGTGGGCTACAGGGAAGCTGAGGAGGGACTCTTTTTATCAGGGAGTGTAGTGATAGGGCAAGGGTAATGGTTTTAAATTGAAAGAGCGCAGATTTAGATTAGCTATAAGGAAGATATTCTTTCCTGTAAGGGTGATGAGATGCTAGCACAGGTTGCTCAGAGCAGTTGTGGCTGCCCCCTCCCTGGAAGGGTTCAAGGCCAGGTTGGACGGGGCTTTGAGCAACCTGGTCTGGTGGAAGGTGTCCCTGCCCGTGGCAGAGGGGTTGGAACTAAATGATATTTAAGATCCCTTCCAACCCAAACCATTCTAGGAAGTAGCCAAGCCCCTGGCTGTGGCACCAATCCCATAACCAATTGTTGATTTTCCAGATTCATCTAGCCCTTTCAGACCCTTTCCCTGGGAAGTGGAGGACTGATGAAAAAACTACCTGTGCTTGAGAATCCCTTACTGCCACTCCCAGGGCTCTCTAATCCTTCTTGATACTGCTCAGACTGCTCTTGGCTGTATCACTGGTGCCCACGTGAAAGAACAGCAGCGGATAATCATCAGTGGAAAGCTTGGCAGTCTCTCAGTGACATCCCTGACACGAGCCCCCGGTAAGCAGCATGCCTCTGGAGAGTGCATCAGGTCGGCAGATGGTGCCTCCATAGCTCTCAGAAGAGGGTCACCTATCGCCATCACCCGTTGCCTTTTCTTAGTCGTGCTGGTTGTTATACAGGAAGCAGGTCAGGCTGCTTTATTCAGCTCCAGCATCTCTCCTGATGTGACAGGTCTTTCCTCTTCAGTCTGCAGATCTCTGAAGCGATTATGCAAGGGCATCTCAGGCTTTGGGGGAAGCCCCTTCCTCCTGCAGCAGGTCCTTGCCACTGCAAGCTTCCATTCTTTTGCATTATTGCTCCACCCCCTCACCCCCGCCTCCGTGTGTGCTGGTGGGGGAGTTTTGGGCTGTTTGGCTATGGGCTGTGGGACCACTGCAGACTGCGCTTGGAACCAGCTATCTCACTCCTTCTCAACCTCCCTGATGCTACGCAGCCTTCTCACTGCCTCCTGCAGCTCAGCAGCCTGGTGCTGGAGGGCCTCTGCCTGGGCACACCTTTTAGCAGGCTGCCCGTTCCTGCCCCGAAAAAAGGGTCTGGGCACTTCCTGCAGCCTGAGCCCTGCACTGCAGCCTGTCCTCCAGCAGCTCTGTCTGGGAGGGAGGCACTGGCTACCACTAGGGTATATGGTGTGGGCCCCCCAGATGGAGCTGCAGCCTTTGCTCTTAGATGTTCATTAGGGACAAAATATGTTTGTTAGGGGTAGTTCTTTAGTTTTTTCCCCAGTTTTTATTGATCTAGATTGGGGAGATGACAATTTTGCAAAGTTGTTATTCCATTTTCTGCATCATTTGAAATTACCTTAGTGTGAGGTTAGTTATCATTTAAAATAAAATATAAAAGGAGGTTGGTTTGGTTTGGTTTGGTTTAAATATGTAAGGAATTTTGAGGAACAAACTTTAGGAAA